ACCAGTTGAGCATCTCATCACATCTTGTCCAGACTATTTCAATTGCCTCCTAACTGGCCTCCTTGTCTCAAGTCTCTCCCATTCCAATCCATTCTCTGAAGTCTCAGTGGAATGTCCCACAGATTTGTACTCAGACTCCACCTGTTCAATATTCTATCAATCACCTAGATGCAGGCATGGATGGCTGACTTGTTTACCAAACTTATAGAGGCACAAAGTTATAGGGATAAGCTAATATGGTGGATGACATAAACAGAATACTCAAAGTTCTCGAAAGAATAGAGATTTGCAAACTATGGCGTGAGGGCCAAATCCAGCCAGTTGTTGAGAGCTAAGAATGGTTTTTACATTTTTAAATAGAATAAAATTTTATTTAAAAAATGTAAAAACCATTCTTAGCTTGCTAACTATGCTGTCATCTTTGCTGACCTCTGGACTAGAACTATGAGCTCAATCTAATGGATGACATTTAACTGAGGGCAAATGTAAAGTCCTACATTTGGTTTAAAAAATTTCAACTGCACAAGTATACAAATGGTAGATAGGCCAAGATATCAATTCTGGTAAAAAAAAAAAAAAAAGACCTGGGATTTCTGTAGACTAAAATCTTAATATGAATCAACAGTGTGACATGGCAGCAAAAAAAGCTAATGCAATTTTAGACTTCATTAAAAGAGGAGATGAGAGCTAGAGTCAGGCAAGTGGGTTCAAATTGTGGCTCTGACATATAACATGTGACTGATTATGGACAGTTGGTATGAGCTCTACATTCCTCATCTGTAAAATTAGGATAATAATGCCTGAGCACGTATCTCACAGGATAGTTGAGGATAACACTACAAAATGTAAGTAAAGCACTCTGTACTAACACACCCAGTAGTAACTAACCTTGTTCCACTGGGCCTGAGAAGGTGAACTAGGAGCAATGGGAAGTTTCAAGGACAGATTTCAGTTCTGCATAAGGAAAAACTTCCTAATAACTACAACACTGCAAAAGTGGAAGGGACTGTCCCGGGAGATAACATAAGAGTGCCCCATCACTGATGATCTTTAGGCAGAAGCTGATGGGCACTTGTTGGAGATGTTGTAGAATTTTTGTTCAGGTACTGTTTGATCCAGATGACCTTTGAGGTCCCATCCAACTCTAAAATTCTCTAAGTTAGCATGCAACTTCTCAAAGTATCTGTGTGAGATACCATGGACCAGAAGTCTATGAGCCAATGAAAATCATACCAATAACTGAGGCATTAAGTTAAAAGTACTTGCTTGTGTCTAAAATGGGAGTTATAGCATATAAATGGGAATTACGGGATATAAATGTATATAAATATATAACAAAAAACAAAGTGTTTTTGGGTGATTAGTGGTTTGCATAGATTTTTCCATATTTCCTAGTATTCTTCATATTTATCCTTTTATAGCACCATAATATTCCATTACATTAACATATCATGATTTATTGCGCAAATCACATTTCAAAGGGTTTTAGGGGAAAGATAGAATTTCCAATGGACTAAAATATCACAGAGGAAGACAAGATTAGAGGAAATACGAAATGCTCAAGAATGGCATTTTGAAGACAAAAAAGAAACAATTCCAACAATGAAGAAAAATGAGATTTGACCAATGAGGACACTCAGGTATACGTAAGGTGGATTTTAGTGTGTGTAAGAATGATTTTGTTATTCTTTTTTAGATAATAATTCCCAGGATCCATAGCTAAAACAATCTCTAGTTCCCAGGAGTTCACGTTAAAAACTATGTCTACTGTGACTACACAGTGAGATACAGGGATGACAATGTAATATTTACTACTCTCGTTGTGCTAAGTTATGATATTACTGCTAAAGTTAACCTGTGAGGCTATTGTAGGCAAATTGCCTTATTTGTGTGCTTCTCTGTAAATCAAGAGAGCACTGGTCAGTGAGGGGGGATTTGGGTAATGCACAGGGAATGCATGTATGTCTGCCTCAACTGGTCCCCACTGAAGCTTAGGGGAATGAGATGAGTTGTGCTTCTACTTTGTATGTTCTTGCCGGCCCCCGCTAGAAGAATGATTAGGGAATGCTGTAGGAGTTACTGCTCCCATTATCAGCTACCCTCTTAAAAAGACTAGACTAGAATAGAGTAAACTTATTTAACCCCTGTCCTTCTGCTGCCCAGATCAAGAGTGAACCTGTTAGAGGCTGGAGTCTCCTGTGCCTCCTGTGTTGTTATTTGTGTTACACCAGGGAATTCATCAACCAGTTTGACTGTGAAAATGTAGAAAAGATAAAAGCAAGGTGAGGAAACAGGATGGATATAAATACCAGTATAAGGGATAAGGTGTATTATAGTTTAGAATGAGTGGAAGCAGGCAAGAGAAGCTAAAGATAAGGGTTAAAAAAAAAAAGTTATGCTGGAAGAAAAAGGAGGACTAAAGAAGGCTTGGTATAAACGGCATGATGACTGGCAGAGTTGCTCATTTTCATTTTGTTTCTGTTTTTCCCCTGTCAACTGCACTGGAATGACTAACAGGAAGCTAATGCCCAAAATAAGTAAAGAGAGCACAAGAAAGCACTTAGATGCACTTGATAGATCCAAGTTACCTGGTCCAGATGAACTAAGTACATTCCTGGAAGAACAAGCAGACAAGCAGATGTGATTACTGAGCCACCATAAATAATATTTGAAACAGCACAAAAGCAAGACCGAAAGAAGGGCAAACATCCTGATTTTTTTTAAAAGGGAAGTGAGGAGATTCTGTATACTACATCAACTCCCAGAAAAATTCTAGAACAGACCACTAAAGAAATGGTTGGTAAACCTCTGGAAAGAAAAGTGGCAATTACAACAACCCAGCATGGCTTCATCAAAAATAGGTCATACCAGACCACTTTGATTTCCTTTTTTTGGGACTAGGTTACTAAACTAGTTACGAGATGGGAAGGATGCTGTGGATTGAATTTACTTAGATTTTAACAAAGCTTATGATGAAGTATCTCATACTGTTCTGGTGGAGACAACAGAGAGATGTAGACTACACAATAATAACACAATCAGATGGATTCAGAACTGGTTGGATGGCCAGGTTCACAACAGTAGTGGATAATGGTTCAATGTCAATGTGGCAGGAATCTTCCAGTGGAGTACTACAGGGATTTGTGCTTGGCCCAGTATTGGTTAACTTATTTTTTTTAAACATGGATAAAGGCTTATTAGATGCTACAACCATTAAATCTGCAGATGGCATGAAGCTGGGGGGAGACAACTGACAGTGTGGATAACAAAATCAAGATTCAAAAGGATCTTAATAGGCTAAAGCACTGTATTGAATTTCTAACAAGAAGAAATGCGATAGGGATAATGTACAGTCCTGTACTTGGGTACCAAAAAAATCACCTTCTCAAGTATGAGACAGGGCAGGAGTAAGGAATGTGAGTGAAGGATGGGATGTTGAGAAAGTAGACTTGGCAGCCAAAAAAGCTAATGTGATCTTGGATTGCATTAGAAGAGGCATAAATTCCAAGAAGAGGGTGGTATACTATGCCTCCAACAGATCACAACTTGAGTATTATGTTCAGTTCAAGGAGATAAAATTTATAAAGAAATGGACAGACAAACTGGACAGAGTCGGGAGGAGGGCAACAAGGATAGTGAAGGATCCTGAGTCCAAGTCATTTGAGGACTTGCTGATGCAATGGAGATGAAAAGACTCAGGGATGCAGTGATAGCTCTCTTCAAGTATTGGAGAGGTTGTGATGTGAAAGAGGGGTTAGACTTGTTCAGTTTGACCCCAAAAAGCAAAACTAGAAGTATTGGTAGAAGATATAAACAGACAAATTTAGGCTTGATTTAAAAGGGGGGAGGGATTGAAATATCCCTTTCTAACAATTAAGAGTGTCTAAAAGCTCTTTGAGAGGTAGAGGGTTACTGCTCCTTGGAGATCTTCAAATAGAGATTAGATGATTATTCATCCTGTATCACATAGTGGAGATTCTTTGTATATAAGTTGGATTAGATGATCACTGAGGTCCCTTCCAACTCTCAAATTTTTTTATTTTATTTTTGATTTTCCTCTTTTATGATTATTATTATTGTATTATCTTTTTGGGGGGGGAATAAAGTCTTATATCTGACCTCCTTTTCTCAGCCAAACTCACAGAGAAAACTGTTTAAGGCATACTCATTAATTGGGGGAAGAAATTGGTGTAACCTTTGGGGGTGGAATTTCAGATATTTTGATTTACATTTTTCTTATTATTAGTAGTAATTGTATTTTTTTTCCATGAAGTTGTTGACTGCTTCCAGTTCTCTGAGAACTA